AGTTAACATATAGATTATCTGACATTCAAGAAACAGTCACAAAGAGATGAAAGATTAACATTAACTGAGAAACAACCAATCAGAAGACTGTGTTTGTTTGCTTAACTAATATATCATAGTGTACATGAAATTATATAAATATGCTTTGATTTCCTAAATAAATGATCTGTTGCATGACCCTTGCCTTCTGTTGTTACAATATATCATACAAGGAAGGACTAGAAAGTATAAATCTCTACTCCCTATCATACTGTAGGCAGAGAGGAGATTTAATTACAATTTAAACATTTAAATAATGACTACGGACCTGACCTAATCTCTCTTTTCCTTCCCACGAAGTCGGAACACCTTAGAGGACATGGCAGGAGAGTTCAAAAGCCAGGAGGAAATCATATTGCTGTGGAGTACTGAGTCATAAACTTTCGCAGCCGACTCCCAGAAGAAGTGGTGTTTGTAACTTTAACTGATTCATTCTAGAATGGTTTGGACAACCACAGAAATTTCCTAGGAAACGATTAACATGGGCTGCAAGCCTTCTAACCTCAATCAGTAAATCCGTATCTGGATTCTGAAATGGCCGACAACCTTGGAGGTTTGATAAGTAAGTATAATGCACCTTGAATGTATGAACTTTCGTTTTAACACATTTTTGAATTGTGGCGCATTTCAAGGCCCTTACGGCGTGACTGATCGCAGGTTGCTCGGTGCGTCGTTGTGCCATGGAGGGCGCACTATTGAGCTTGCTGCCCCAGTGAGTTCAGTATTCTTGTCAACTGAATTTGACTTTTAATCTGTGGTAAAAATAAAATCGTCATCTGAGCACACTACCTAATCACAAGCCTTTTAATTCGAGTTCGTTAATCGGTATTTACACGTTAGGTAGAGTACTGATCAGGGTTACCCTAGGAAACCAAGTTTAGTAGATGCTGACGTTCTGTACTACCTAGAGGCTGACTGCAGCACTTACATAGGGGTTAGTTCAAAATCCGTTGGCAGCTGAACAGTGATAGTCCAGCTCCACTACAGTAGGCGTGTTTTGAGGATTAAGGTTTCTTCCTTGACTTAAATCCTCTCATCGACTTTGAGAAGAAATGAAATATGGCACTTATTTCAAATTCCATCCAGTGGAAGTATAGGGCTGGAAAGTGCTGGAGCTGATCGAAGTCGTGCATCTATGTTTCTTGTGTATAAACTCGGTCCACTGCAACAGACTTTTCTTGCACCAGACTAGGAGTCACACATCACGTGAAAGCTAATGATATTGCCTATTACTAAGACTTTTAGGAGGATAATACTTGAAACAATTTCTTTGAGTTCAATTTTAACTTGTACCTAGTGCTGAAGACATAGGTGACAATTCAAAAAAATATTTTATAAATTGGTTTCGATATTGCACATTATATCGTCCATCAATTCACAAAATTTCACTAATGGTAGCCACTATGGATGACTCACTAAATGGACTTTGATGACCACTCAGAATAGTTAAATTCAAGTGGTAGACAGTAAATCATATTCATTTGGCAGCTGTTTTCACACCAGCGATATACATGTTATCTGGGCAACAGTCTGATTGACTGTTTAGGATCATTGGGCATGCCGATCTTTCCCGTCACTGCCATCGAAAATCAGGATGTATCTCTAATTTGCAGTAAATTTAATTCTTTTTTGTCTAAACGTCCTACTCCTTCCAATGTTATCACAATTAGAATGTCTGCTTTAATGTACATACAACCGATGTTTGTAAGTAAACCAACCATTTTTAAACCCGGGAAAGAGCGCATTAATCTAATCTTTAATCTGCATAGCTTGTGAAACGAAAACGTGTTCGAAAGTATACATTATTCAAATCTCAGATGTACTTAAATATATATCAGTCGCCAGATATCATGTTTAGTTTTAGTTAAGAAGTCAACGCTGATGTAGTATATCGCCCTGATCAACTCACTTAATAGAAGCCCATTCATCTGCACAATGGTTGGTGGGGAGTCATCTGTAGTGAAGACAGCCAGTGTTGTTCGTCATCTTACTGTGGACGTAGAAACGCATTTGGCTCTGCCCAGTCGCAAATATCTCGGACATGGCATATGTAGATAAAGGTGTGGGCAGTTTTCCGTTTTGGACTGGGCTATTTTCTGATATGAAATGGGCCAAATTGTAAAAATTGGGTGGTTCTTTCTTACTAGACCTGGAAAAGGTGGTATGTGAAAATTTTGGCGGCCATGAAAAGAAGGGAGTATACCAGGTATTTTGTTTTGCATTTTGCTTGCTTCTCTGTCTATCCGAATTGCCCATTTGCCTCAACGTTTCGCCGCTTGTCGCGTGCGCATCCTCCGACTGGGTGGTTAGAATCACTATGTAATTGACTAATTCGATTTAAGGTGTAGTGATACATTTATTTACAGAAAAGATAAAATACTGAGCTCTGCTATGTGCTGTGTTTTAGTGTAATTATGTTCTCTGACCTGGATGGCTTGCCCGCGGAGCAATCATTGCATTACTAGGCCACATACTTCAATTCGATGTATGCTCTTAAATTCCTCCACGACTTTATCAGGCATCTCTCCTTGTAACTTCGGACGTGATCGGTTGTTTTTGTGTTTTCACACTCTCTAAGCTACTTGTATTGATGTTGATTGTTCCCTTGACCTGAAGTTTAACTGTTTGTTCATTCGATTTCCTTCTCATGGATTAGTAAATATTGTCTATGTCAGTGTGTCTATTAATTGCCAATTCACTTGGATACCAGGCATCCACAAATTCTCTGGAGATTTTGGCGTCTCCTCTGTCTAATATTTGAACCTTGTCCCAACTGAATTGAGGTTCGTGGTTGTCTGTATGCAGTTATATGAGTGAGTGGATATCATGACTTTTGACGGTCAGTTTATGTTCTTCTATGCAGAGACGAAAAGGGGGTCCACTTTGGCCAATGTAGTGTTTTCCGCAATCGTTGCAATTTATTTTGGGGGTGATGTTGGTTTTATCTTCTTTCTCTGTTGAATCTTTTGTTTGACATAGAGCCGAGTGAAGCGATTTTGTTGGTTTGTATATGGCATCAATTCCTAAAGGTTTGAAGTCTTGCAGTGATTTCTGAGACGTCTTTTATATATGGTAGGGTGATTTTGTTTGTCTTTTCCTTGGGGACCTTTGATTGGGTAGGTTGGGTTGGAGGCAGATGTCTTTTGGTGAAGTTTCACGTATATCCATTTTTTTGAAGGTGTGCGTGAAATATTTTTCTCCAATTTTCTTTAAGGTGGGAGTGTTGGAATGTGCCCTAGCTTTCTTGAGTAGTGTTTGCATACAACCCGTTTTGTGTTATATTGGATTTTTGCTGTTGCAATTAAGTATTTGGTCTGTGTGAGTTGATTTTCTGTGTACTCGAGCTGCTAATTTTCCTGTAGTGTCGTTTGGGTAAGGCATCAAGTAGTGGAATTTTTTCTCCCGTACTTCTCTACTCATGTGTCGTTGAAGATGTTGTTTTTATGAAGTTGTGATTTTTTTCTAAGCCGTTTCTTCTGGTTATCACGAATGTGTTATCCACGTGACGTATACGAATTTTGGGTTTGGTCTTCGATAGGATTATATTTTCGAGTCTTTGAATCGCAGCTCCACTAGGGATTTTTCCACCCTAGCACTGAATGCTATATTTACGCCAGCGAGTGCACGCGAAATAGCCGAATAACTCCTCGTTAGGTGAATTTTTCAGACTCACCCTGTTGGCCATATGGATGACCACATTTGGGTCTTTTAAGTGTCTTTGAAACCCAACATTCAACGATGCCAGAGTTTTGGCTAGTGATTCCTGTTGTCCGACATAGAAATGGTCTTGACGTTAGATGCTCCAATATGGAGTTGATAGCATGGTTTTAAGAAATTGAGTGTTTTTCTGGTTCCCATGGTCCATTTACGGTCTCAGAGTTAAGTGGCAGTGAGGAGCGATGAAGACAAAGGTGGGTGATGATCAGGAGAGCGTAGTGTGGGTGGTAATCATTTCCCTTCTGTTTATAATGTGGAAGTCGATTTTTTCTTGTGTTACCTGAAACACAAGAACCATTAATGTTGCGTGACTGCAGTACTGCAGTACTCTACCTAACCTATAATTACTATCGACAAAACGCAAATTAAAAAGACTTTGATATTAGGGAAAATGTATTCAAGTGCGGGGTATATTTTGAGTAAAATAAAATGTAAAGATCACCTAAGAATAAAGGTCTAGAACGTCTTTAACTGATATGTCTTTATTACAAACTCAAGGAATGGGCGTATAGACAGAACAACGGGAAAGCGCAAAGTGGCATTGACACCAGTTTTTGTATGTACAAACTAAAACAAAGCCTAACTCTGGAATGTGCACTACAACGCCTTCGCTCGTCGTCCCCAAACATGGCTTAACGACTTACACTCTACTGGCGACTGCTTTTAGCCTAACCCCTATCCAAACGACGTTTCTGGCTTGATAGGACCTGCAGACAAATTAGTTCCTTTCAGTGTTGCTTGTTGGGTCATCCAAACATACAAGCGCTACCACCACGTCTAGTTAGCCACTCTCAGTGGGGAAATTCATAGATTTTTATTAAAAGATACAGGAATCCCTGATACACACACTCACCAGTGACTGTCACAAAATCTTATGCGATACTCTAACTCCTACCAGACTATTTCTTGTCACTGAGGACAACTAATTTTTTCAGGAATTTTTGTTGTAAACTGTTGTACCATGAGATATTTTGAAGGATTATAGAGTTATTTTGTTGAGAAATGTAAAATGTTAATGAGCTTTGGTTAGTGCTGGGTGTGCGACAGCGTCAGATATCACTTATTGTTCAGAAGAACAATTTGTACCAATGTCCAATGATATAAAAGCCAATAATTTGCCCTTTTTCCCGTATAAGTATGTCTTTGTACAATAGGATGTATGTGTCTTGATCCTAGCTTGTTTTCATCATCTTTACAGGTCTCCAACCCTGTTCTGACGAATTTTCATTACTGCTTAAGTCACTATGAAGAGAGCTGGGAAGTCAAATAATACGGACCCTCCACCCAAAACCCCTAAAACAAATGATACCCTGTCCGCTGAAGGTGAAATCGTTAGTTGGCAAGTATGTTACTTTCTATTGTTCAACTAGTAGCATTTAACAAGCTTTGTTTATGTTACTGGTTTTGTTAGTACACCGATTAAGATTATGACTCTGGTAACATTCCTAAAAAGTGTTTTTTTTTCATTTAACCCTATATGACTTTGATTTTACATATTTAAAGTATGGTGAAGTGATCAGAACTGAGTCCTAACTATCCTCAAAATTTAAACCAAACGTCGATTAAGATAACTATAATGAATAATAACTGACTTTTAGTATATTCAGTTAAACAAAGTTGATCTTTAGAATTTTCGACACCAAATGGTACCAGAAGATTACAACAAACGGATAATCATCGGTAGGAATGAAGTTGACCAGATAGCCTCCAATTTGTCAGTCAGTTCAGATCATCTCATTTAACGTAGAGATAATAACATGATGGCAGAATGCGTACATAACTGAGATATCCTTCTGAAAATGCATGCTTTTCAAGAAAATAGTAACTGCGTTAACTGGTCAACTGTAACTCTTGAATTCGTGCTAACTAGTGCCTACTTACATCCGAAACCATAACGTTTCTTCACTCTAATAACTGCGAGTACATTATGCGATGTGTCGCATCATTTATTAGAGACAGTAGTTATGAATAAAATGACAAAGAAGTATAAACAAAATGACCAAAGTGACTAATTACTGTTTGTGGCGATCAAATTAACAACCACCTACTTGGAAGTTTGTCCAGTATGTTTGTATGCAAGCGCTCTGAGAACTGCTTATGAAAGTTATAAGCCTCTAGAGATAAGACGAAGGCTAAGTTCCCTAATAAGGTAGTTGGAATGATGATAGAAGAAAGTGATACTAGTATAAATGGAAACGAAATTTCTCATTTCTCGATTGTTCTGCGGGAACCCTAGGACCCAATTTCAAAAGTCTGTTGATAAAACAGATGTGTCAGCTCTTCTACATCCGTGGAAATTAAACAGTGGTTTAGCATCCTCGAAAGAAGAGGTTGAAAACTACACGAATAGAACTGTTTAAGTGTTAATTCTCACATTGTGGGAGAGAAAAAGCAGGCGTCGTGCGATATTTTCGTTACCTATGTGCCTATCAGCTAGAAAATATAAAATCCCCAGTCATCTTGTTGGACATTACATTTCTGGTGAACAGAAACGGATACTGCTATGGAATAATAATGATCTTGGTGTAAATGCGTTATCTGAATTGGATGGTTTACTTGTGGAGCATTCATTGCCCTACTAGGTAACATCCTCAGCGCATATTTCAATTCAAACAGAGTAGAATTTTCACTATTTATCACAATATCGCATCTAATTTACTCAAAATACAAATGAAATTGACAGGAATTTGTACATACTTCAGGTAGGAATAAAGTCAAAAATGTGCAAAGTACAAAGTGAGAATAACAACTATAATATTAGTAATGGTAATAATAATAGTGGGTTTGTTTCAAACAGTATTGCCGATACAGCTTAGAAATTTTAGCATGTTATACAGTACTCAATCTAATGTTCTCTTGATATAGTACGGTGAAGGGAAAAACAAAAAATAACAATTATTACAGAGCTTAAATGATGTTTACATTTATGAAAATATGAACAGAAACATTGAGAGGATTATTAATATGAGAAGAAGAATAACTGACTGGTTTCAACATTGAACTTTGCACCGATGTGCAGCAGCTCGAGTCGCCACACTTCACTTAGCACACAAAGCAAGAGAAGAAACAAAAAGAAATTCGAAATAGAGACAGTTAACTGAGATGAGAGGCAAAAAGAATAGTAATATCGAAGGACAATATAGTTTTGTTGGATATTATAAATCACAAAGAGTAAATGCATCTGCACTATGCATTGAGAACGATTTTGAGCCATTCACCGACTGTTTCCAGCCATTGGTTCTTACCAACTCGAGGCCCCCAACCAGCCAGCCGTTCTACACCTCCATACTTGACTGACTGGCTTAAACTAGCTGTTGTGGATTTCATTGACTGGTGAAGCCATGTTTTGGTTTGACCACCACAGGCTCTTTTCCAACCTGATCCATTCTATGTCAGCTAACATTGCCCATCGGTCGAGGAAGGCGATGGCTAGGAAAGCATGCGCGACACATGTCCTAACCATCTCAACCGATGCAGATGCTTCACAGCCTCGTCGATTGATTTCCCCTCCTTACCTAGTACTCGACCGATGCCTCACCTCAATATCACTCACCTTGTTATACCACCTAACACGGGAGATAGAACGCAGATACCTATGATCAAAGACAGCTAGCCAGGCTTTCCATGTCTTCCAATGGCCATGGCTCACAGCCAGCGATAAAGGAGGATGGGGCGGACTGGTGAGCAGTCCACACGTCCTCTGATCGATAGCCAGCCGGATATCACGTCCACGCCAGAGATGGCGTAAACTGGCATATGCGAAACGAGCCTTCTGCATCCGTGTTGAGATTTCGTCAGCGATCAAGTCATTGGGGCTGATGCAACTTCCCAAATAAGTGAAGCGGTCAACGTGCTCTACCACTTCGCTCCCTATTTCTAAGCTAGGAGTCAGTGTATTCCAGGCTAGCCCTGTAACATCATCTTACATTTGGCGGGAGCGAATCGCATGTGAAACATTCGCAGATTGCAGCTCACGGCGTTCAGAAGACTGCATTCTTTCACTGTCTTCACCCAGAAGGACAATATTATCTGCATATTTTAAGTCAACGAGATCATTCCCTGACAGTAACAATTCAATCTCTGAGTCGTTGAAGTCAGTTAGGGTTAAGTCCATTAGTACATCTATAATGAAATTGAATAGAAATAGGGATAGCGGGCATCGCTGTCGGACACCACTAGTTGTCACCACTTCAGATGACAACTCACCGTAAGCTCTCACTTGGCTGCGTGAGTTCGAGTAGAGTGCCTTGATCAGTGCAGCCAAGCATCGCCAGAGTACCTCTCGGTGGGAAAAATCGAATGCCGCCATTTTTCCCTTCAGTTCATCCGAACTGCAGTCGGTTGTAGCGCAAATGGAGACCATGAAAATGCAAGGACGAGTGGCGCTCCCCTACCTTCTTCTAACGGACCTGTTCACACGAACCGCACACATACGACTATCTGCTGGGATCCACTCAAGAAGGGATGTTTCTGCCCCTACACTCAATGCTATCCCTACACCTACGAGTTCTCGCGAACTAGCTGAGGTGTCTCCTGACACCCTTAAGGTGATTTTCGCAGATTCACCTTGTTGACTGGGTGGTCCTAATCAATAACCACACTAGGGTCTTGTATGCGTGACTCTGAAGCACAACATACATCCATGGTTCGAGATGCGAGAGTTCTTGCTAGTGATGCCTGTTGTCGGATTCGGCAGAGGGTCCTGATGTCAAATGCTCCTATGAAGAATAGTACTGACTATAGTAGGGGAGTAAAATGATGGTGATGTGGTTAAAGGAGAATAATGCTCGGGGAGCTTCGTGCGCTCTTGGAAGTGTGTGGGCGGTTGTTACTTCCCGGCTGCCCACACCGTGGAAGTTGATTGATTCGTGAGGTACCTGAGACAGTGTGGACAACTGCTTGAGGTCGGTCACACACGGCCTGTATGAACTAGTTTCTCGGTTTTAAGAGTAAGTGGTGGCCAAACAAAAACATGGCATCAATCCATGAAATCCCTGACAGTTAAACTGAGTCAGGTAGGGAGATGAAGACTTCCGGGTTGGGGCCCTCGGGACTCTAAGAATCAATGGCTGGAGACAATAGGTGACATGGCTCAAAATCGTTGTCAATGGCGCAGATGTATTCAGTCTCTTTAACCTTCATATTCCTTTCTACCATTACTCATTCTGTTTCACTCTTATAACTACCTAAATTCTATTGATTCTCTTCTCTCATTTTCCTGTCTACCTTTGTGTGCTATTTGGAACGTGGCAACTCGAACTGCTGCACTTCGGTGCCAAGTTCTATGTTGAATCCAGCAGCAGCAGCAGTTTCTTGGTTTGGTTCCGTATTAGTAAACTTAACGCTGGTTACGGACCACTGTAGGGTAGGTCGGGATGTACAATTGTTGGGGTCGACCTTTTCTAAACCCGTCTCCAGAGTGGAGAGACAGCATAGCTGGTATGCCGGTTATCAGAGGGAAACACCATTCTGCTGTTACATCCCTGTTCCCCAGCAGTACGACTTCGCCCACAGACCCCCAGCATAGTGTAAAAAGAATTCTTACACAATGCTGGTAACTGTTTTTAGACTAATAGCTATCCTGGCATAGTAGGACCTACAGGAACAATCGTTCCAGCCAGTGTAGCTTGTTGGGTCATTGGAATATGCAAGCCCCCACCACAGCGTTAGGGTAGCAGCTTGGTGGAATAAGGATTGAAAAAATGGTTTATTAACTAGTTCATCCCTGACACTTTTCATCACATAAAGTACTTTCCCAATATGGTATTGTGGGATTTTTATACCTAGACTTGCACACATAAAGTCTTTTGAAATGACTTCTTGTTTAACCTGAGGAGACACAGGGTGAAACTTCGGGCGAAATGGATGCTCACAGTTTGAAAAAATCCCTTCAGCAAGTTTGTTACATGAAATCAAGTGCCTATCAATGATGATGTAAACGATATGGCCCGATGGAATACCACTCGCCCTACTGACCGTCTTCAGAGTCCTGCGATTTATGAAATGGTCTTTTTTAAGCAACCCAGGAACAATAAAGACGAATCGATAAGGTGCATGAGTTAACAAACTGTGGAAGGAGAAGCTGAGTTATGACTGAACACTTGAACTTCTTGATGCGAAAAGTCAAAAGAAATTGCTAATACACGCAAAGACCAGGACAGATCAGAAGAAAGAACTAATCCAGTATACTTAACGTCAAAGTTGATTTCTATATCACTGTCATCAATTTTACAACGGCCAAGGGAATCAACAGCTTCATTTAACTTTCTTTTACATCGGAAACTGAAACTAACAGTCTGACATTTGAAAACACTTATTTGAAGACCACTTGTTGACTCCACCATCAACAGCACGCACATTACTGCTTGTGGACACCAACCCACCAACGAAGGCAGAAATACTGAATGCGATCAAGCTACTGAAGTTGGGGAAGATTTGTGGATATTCATTTTCTTTTCGGAGACGTACTTAAGATATTTTCCTTCAGTTTTGCTTCATCAAACATCTACCTTCAACCCAACCTACCCAATCAAAGGTCCCCAAGGAAAAGACAAACAAAATCACCCTACCATATATAAAAGACGTCTCAGAAATCACTGCAAGACTTCAAACCTTTGGGAATTGATGCCATATACAAACCAACAAAATCGCTTCACTCGGCTCTATGTCAAACAAAAGATTCAACAGAGAAAAAAGATAAAACCAACATCACCCCCAAAATAAATTGCAACGGTTGCGGAAAACACTACATTGGCCAAAGTGGACTCCCTCTTATATTCCCTCTGCTCTTTGTCGATGGACCCATGAAAACTATCTTTTTAAAATCCCATTACAAAACAACTTTTCATTTCACCTTCTGTATTCACTGTTAGTTTACAAATCAATGGACAAATTAGGCAGTTTTACCAGTAATTGTGAGGTTGACAGACGCTATAGAATTCTATAGAAATTGTTTTGTACAAGTTGAAAGGTTTATACTACAGTTAGCAAGAAAGACCAGGGAACCTTGAGTAGGAAGTTCACACTGACTTTCATCTTCTAATTTGTTAACTAAGTGTATCATATCATATCACTGTATCACTTTTATTTGATGACCGTATTTGATTGTGCTTGGTTTTTAAGCATAGATATTGTGATTACGAAGGTATTATTGACAAATAAGTATGATAACGCTTTCAAGTAAGATTTCAATATTGTTTCAGGTCTTTCTGCCATTAGGTAGGTACATAAAAGTCATTGATTTATTCCAATACTCATTGGCAGATGAAACCAGCAGATATTCCAAAGTAGCTAAATGTTTTGAAAGCGTAATTCATCCAGTACATTATACTTCATTTAGATATTTTTTGTTCCTTCTTAGAATCTACATGCAGATTTGCAGGAACTGTCTCACTGTGGAGAGGAACGTAAAAATTGTACTTATGAATCAAGGAAACCGTCAGTTCTAGCGATGAAAGCTTATTGTCAACGCCTATTCGAAATGAATCGTACGACACAAACTCGAAAGTTTAATCAAACAGAGAAAGATGACATGACCCACTACATTCAATCCTCCATGCCTTGTACAACTTCATCGAGGAACGTGAATAGATCTGTTGGTTCAATCCCAAGACGCCAAAGAATCGCGTTAGTTTCACTTATTTCTCATTTTTGATTGTCAGTGTATTTTTACCTATGGTCGGTTGGTGTAGGAATTCGAATTATCTGGTTATTTTCCGACAAGCAATATTTGTCATTGCAATTAGTAATATTAATCATTATATAATAGAGGTGTTTCGGCTAGGAACTAACACATCATTACCGAATTGCTTCAGCTGTCTTAAGAATAGAGGAACATTACGTGTAAACTACGTTCTCCACTAACGCGGGAGTTAAATAATTTGTTAGTAATTCTGGATTTCTTTTACTCTGTAGTGACTAATGTATATTTATGTCAAGTGATGCTCTGGTTAGATTTTAGGAACAACCACAACGTGACTTATAGGTTGTATTCAGCCACAATTACAGGTAAATATATTAGATAACACGAAGTGATACAGTATTGAAAACTGCATGACGTTTCGAGCACAATTTATTCCTCATAGTCCTGTCAATGTATTCACACAGATTCATAATTCACGACAGTACTATTCTTCACGTTAGTGAGTCAGCTTCACTTCACTCTGTGACCACAAACAACGATGAGAGCCATAGAGACACCCTTGACAGCCTCTTAAAGCCACGTCGCCAACTTCATATAGAAGCATTTGACATCGGGACCCTCTGCCGAATCCGACAACAGGCATCACTAGCAAGAACTCTCGCATCTCGAACCATGGATGTATGTTGTGCTTCAGAGTCACGCATACAAGACCCTAGTGTGGTTATTGATTAGGACCACCCAGTCAACAAGGTGAATCTGCGAAAATCACCTTAAGGGTGTCAGGAGACACCTCAGCTAGTTCGCGAGAACTCGTAGGTGTAGGGATAGCATTGAGTGTAGGGGCAGAAACATCCCTTCTTGAGTGGATCCCAGCATATAGTCGTATGTGTGCGGTTCATGTGAACAGGTCCGTTAGAAGAAGGTAGGGGAGCGCCACTGGTTCTTGCATTTTCATGGTGCAGATTACACAAAACCATATGAGCTGTACATTGGATGGCGAGGCTGCTCGCTTTGGCACCGTATGATTTCTGTCCTCAACGGAACGCGGATGAACTAGAGGCGCGTTTCAAGCACCTGACGCGGACCACTATAAGGGGAACTTACGATCCTGAACTATTTCAAACCTCTAGAACACTACACTCACCATCTGGAAGCGATGAATAGGTCATTATTACTATTTGTTTATTCTCTCTTTCTTTCTTTATTTCACATTTGCCTTTTTCCTTCTAGTTACTTGACTTTTCTTGCTTCTAAATCTTTGTTTTCTTCCCGTATTAATGATTCAAAATTGAATGTTTATGCTAATGACCTTTCACAATACCCTGTAATTTATGTTGTTTGCATAAAATTTGAATTCTATCATCAAACCAACTATGGACTATGGATAGCTTTTTGATGTTTTAGCCTTAAAATAATGCATATATGTTATCTGAAGGTAAATTCAAAAACATATTAGAGGTGTGTAAATAATCTGTGTGTCACCGTTTAGTACTGCTGTTTTTCAGTCGAAGAACCAATACAGTATATAGAAGCTAAAACAGGTGAAAACTGTTGAATGCTGACATTTTGTAGACATTGAAAACCATCTCTTGCGACCCTCCCAATAGTTATATTCAACTGCTAGAGGACTACATTTGCTGAATACTGTGTTATTTTATTTTGAAATGAATAAAATTACTCTCCTCACTTAACACCACTAACTATAAGAACAAGGATTGTTAGAGCAATTCTGTATTAACACGAAATCCGAGCAGAGTCCAGGAATCGATAGTTGGAACAGTGCATAGTTTTCATCAAAAATACCTAATAATACAGATACAACATCAGTCATTAACACATGTACACAAATAACCAGTATGATTAAGATTATATATTTCGTAACCACATGTATTTGTATAATTAGCTAGAAGGCAATTAAGAAGGAAAGAGGGCGCCACTCGTCGTTGTCTTCCCATGGTCTCCGCCTACGCCACAACCGACTGCAGTTCGGATGAACTAAAGGGTGATTTCTGCTTGAAACTGTCTAGTTTGCTGCAAAAAGCGAAACGCTCAGATATAGTTGTCAAAGCAGGCGACTTCAATACCCAAGTAGGGAAGTTGTGCCAGACAGAAGTATGTGGGTGGTACGTACGCAGTTCCCTGCCGATGAATCGACAACGGTGATCGTCTTCTAGGGTTCTGTGCCTAGTCAGCACTATCTTTAAGCACAAAGAGAGACATTGCCTAACCTGGTGACCTCCATCACTAGATCAGCGTTGGACTCAAATAGACCATATAGCGGAAGATATGGAAAAGGTATCGCCGATTGGTAACACAAGAGGCAAACATTTAGGCGTATCACGGAAGCAGGTGGTAAAAGGCAAATGATATGTGAAACAATCCACGAGGAAAATGGCACCTTGATTAGCCCTCAGGATAGTCGACTGGAACGTTGGAAATAACACCTTGAGGAGCGATTTAACTGGCCTACAGCCACACTCAACTTACCGAGCACCAAACACCTCCCTGAATGAATGAGATATAAACACCGGTCCTCCGTTCGTAACCCTGACTGAGGCTGCAAATGCTGCCAGTAGTCTGAAACGAGGCAAAGCAGCAAGACCTGATGGAATGACTCCAGAGGTATTTAAGTTCGGTGGAGACAGCTTACTGTGCGTGTTAACTAAGGTGTTAGGCAGCGTCTGGGAATCAGAGGACGTCCCGTCGGGCTGGTGTAATCATTGATTATTCCGATGTACACGAAGAGACAGGTCTTCCTGTGACAATCACAGGCGGATTAGCTGGACCATTATGGTATCTAAAGTTCTAGGTTCAATAATCATACGTAGACTAAGTAGTGCTCGGCAGGAACAATTGCGCGAGTACCAGGCAGGCTATAGAACAGGAAGAGGGTGTGTTGATCATGTGTTCACCCTTCGACACATTCTGGAACACAGGCGGCATAATTATCTGCGTCCAACAATCGCCATATTTCTCGACCTTAAAGTGGCATTCGATTCCGGCGGTTTGTTTGTGAAAGAAATGCGGAGAAAATACATTGCACTAACCAGGGCACTCAATCTATTCGATCTCATGCAGTCAGCCAGGTGGAAGACTACGGAGAGTTGTCAACCGGTATTGTCCGTCAGGGATGCCCACTGTCCCTATTTCTGTTTAATTTTATCATTAACGTACTACTAATGAACTTAACCCTAACTGACTTCAGCGACTCAGACACTGACTTGTAACCAGGGTATAATAGTCTCGTTGACTTTTAATATGCAGATGATATAGTCCTCCCTGCTGGGTGAAGACGCTGTCAAAATGCAAAGTCTTCTGAGCACCTTGAGGAGCGGCAATCTGCGAATGTTCCGCATGCGATTCGCTCCTGTCAAATGGAAGACGGTGTCACAAGACTGGACTAGGTTGTCTCCTAGCTTAAAGATAGCGGCTAGAGAGGTAAATTGTGTTGAGCACTTCGTTTATTTGATAGGTTGCATTAGCCAGTGTCGGCGGGTTGATCTCTGACGAAATCTCAGCACACATACAGAGGACTCGTTTGGCATCTTTCGGTCAGCTTACGCCATCTCCGGCTCAGTAGATGTGATATCCGGCTGGCTATCGATCAGAGGACGTGTGGACTGCTCACCAGTCCGCCCCATCCTCCTTTATCGCTGGCTGTGAGCCATGGCCATTGGAAGACATGGAAAGCCTGGCTAGCTGTCTTTGATCATAGGTATCTGCGTTCTATCTCCCGTGTTAGGTGGTATAACAAGGTGAGTGATATTGAGGTGAGGCATCGGTCGAGTACTAGGTAAGGAGGGGAAATCAATCGACGAGGCTGTGAAGCATCTGCATCGGTTGAGATGGTTAGGACATGTGTCGCGCATGCTTTCCTAGCCATCGCCTTCCTCGACCGATGGGCAATGTTAGCTGACATAGAATGGATCAGGTTGGAAAAGAGCCTGTGGTGGTCAAACCAAAACATGGCTTCACCAGTCAATGAAATCCACAACAGCTAGTTTAAGCCAGTCAGTCAAGTATGGAGGTGTAGAACGGCTGGCTGGTTGGGGGCCTCGAGTTGGTAAGAACCAATGGCTGGAAACAGTCGGTGAATGGCTCAAAATCGTTCTCAATGCATAGTGCAGATGCATTTACTCTTTGTGATTTATAATATCCAACAAAACTATATTGTTCTTCTATATTACTGTTATTTTCGCCTCATATTCCTGTTTATTATCTCCGTCTTCAATCTGTCATTACTCTCTTCTCTTGCTTTGTGTGCTACATGGAGGAAGTGTGGCAACTCGAACTGCTGCACATGTGTGAGAAGTTCTACGTTGAAACCAGTCAGTCAGAAGCCAATTCGACCAACAGCCATGTCTTATCAAATTGGTGTCTCTATAGGTCAGCATATATTTCTTTTTCACTGCGTTCGCTTCTGTTGTTTTCAATCTTGAGCGCTTGAGGGAATTTTTCTGCATTAGTCTGATGTAAACGTCTTCAGTTAGTAAGGCTTCTTCCGGCTGTGAGCTGATTGTAGTTGTTTTTCAGATACTATAAGGAACGACTTTTGAATACTTTATTTGACCAACATTTCTACCGCGTACTGTATTAATTTTTGACGACGAAGATTTCTAACAGTAACAAGTTTGAATTTCATTATGACCGTATAGCTGGAACAATTAAGTGCCACAGAACGCAATTACATTTATACCTGAACCATCATTAGCATACTGTTAGTAGTTAAATCTTCCTTCCAAAATGTCCTTCATACAATCCTTCTCACACATGTTCGAGCAAATTTGACGGCATTTCCACTGATCTCTTATGCATAATAGCCCAACTAAGGCTTTCTACAATACCTGTTGTCTTCATGAAATTATAGGAAAACGCTAACAAAATCTTTTGTTGCTGTCTTCTGGGTATTTCACCAAACTATTTCGTCCCTCTAAATGAATGAACGTGATACAGATAATAGATGATTATGCAACGAACAAATACTACCGGCTCCACTGGAATTTCTCATTCTAGATAGTTTGTTCGAGGAATTTACCAGCTTGACATTTGATATCGTGGTGGTGAGTACTCATAAGTAGAAAAGGGATAAAGAACTTTATCTGGAAGGAAAGCAGTCATGTTTAACAAGTTCAAACAGTATTGGTTAACTATCATCAGGAAGGGAAGAAAGAAGGAAATTGCAACACGTTCACCATTGATGACTGGCGATTCTTGGCCATATCCGATAACGTTTCGAGCCATCGATTCGAGCTATCTCGTGGACCTCAACCAGGGAGTCGTGACGCACCAACCGATGCTAATCTAGCACAAAAATCCTTCATCCCACGACGCCACGTCATGGACTGACCACCCCTCCACCTTTTCCATCCCGTCACAGGTCTAGCGAACAAAGACCTGTACGGAAGCGTCTGGGATGACATTCTCAGCACATGTTGAAGCCACCGTAGCCGGTGTTTCCAGATGACGACACTCAATGAATGGTGATCTCCACTATGTTCACACACGCAGCCGACCCTCAGAATTACTCACGCGATGATGCCATCGAACGCAAGCAGTCCTGTGGAGACAGCGGTGATCGAGCACGCAGAGTCGCCTCACATCCTCACCTCGGAGAGGCCAGGTTTCACAGGCGTAGAGCAAGACAGCCCACACCGAAGCATTGTATACCCGACCTTTGACAGCCAGGCTAACGTCGCGATGGCGCCAGAGGTGGCTCAAGTTTATGTATGCTACCCTAGCCTTCATTAAACGGTTGGAAATCTCATCCGTCACCCCTCCGCCAGCACTCACACGCAAACTTATCAACAACTTCAAGCGGTGCACCGGCAAAAGTGAGTGCAGGTACAGGCTCCTGCCAATCTTGTAACAGTACTTTGCACTTAGACGGTGCAAAGCACATACCATACTTAAAGACACTGATCGCCAACTGATTAAGTGCGATTTGGGCAGCCTGCATGCTATCGCACAGTAAGACGATATCGTCTGCATACTCGAGGTCGAAAAGTCTATCTCCAGGTAGCAGATCTACACCACCTTCACGCACATCCTTCAGAGCTGACTCCAGAATGTCATCGATGGCAAAGTTAAACAGAAATGGAGAGATTGGGCAACCCTGTCTAACCCCACTGTTGGTTGGAAACAATAATGATAGTTGGTTGTATGCCCTCACTCTACCTGAAGTGTTTCTGTATAGGGCTTTCAAGATGTTAACAAATTTCTCAGTTACACCTCTCTCTAACAGACAGTTCCAGAGCACAGTTCTGTCCAACGAATCGAAGGCAGCCCTAATATCAAGAAACACAACGATCGTTGGCCTGCAATACGTGTGGCGGTGTTCCAGCAACTGACGAAGGGTGAACACATGATCAATGCATCCACGACCTGAACGAAACCCAGCCTGCTCTTCGCGAATGAATCCTTCACGTATTTTACACAGCCTGCGAAGCAAGACAGCAGCCAATAATTTAGATGCGACTGGTAGCAGACTGATACCCCTATGATTGTCACACGAATTACGTCGACCATTTTTAAAGATAGGGACGATGATGGCTTCGTTCCACATTGATGGTACACTCTCAGTTTCTCATATCTTCCTGAATAACCCAGTTAGAGCCATTGTGAGAGTCTCGCCACCATCTTTAAAAAGAGCCGGGGGTAAATTGTCTGGGCCGGGCGCCTTATGGCGTTTTAACACCTGGAGTTCGTTACGGACCTCCGCTTCGGTGGGTGGGTCGGTATTAACCGACCAAGGAGCACTGGGGCTAATGACAGCAGACATTGAAGATGGTGGCCAGCTAAACTGTTTCCCGAAGTGCTCTGCCCAGCGTTCCAGGCGTCTTTTCAAACTGGTAATTGGCGTGCCATCTGCCTCACAGACCGTCTCGCTGACACCTTGTTTCTTGCTGCCGGTGGCTCGGATGAGTTGGAACAGCTTCCGACTGTTGCCAGATGCAGCAGCTGACTCCATCTCACCCGCACGTTCTGACCACCAGGCCTCGCGGTCCTTACGTAAACACTTTCTTATCTTGCGCGTCAGCGCCTTTCGCTTATTGCTGTATTCGCTGCCAGCCGGAATGGACCGGCGTTCATCCAGGAGTTGCAAGGAACTCGCAGAAACCCAGTGGTTTTTGGCGGAGCATTCTTTCAAGCCGCAAGCGGCTACACTAGCTCTTTGCATGGCACCTTGCAGATGGAGCCAATGTTCATCTATACTACTTGGGGGGTTGCTGGCAAGCATTGATTGTAACTCATTCTGATATTTCAAACAAGTAGCAGGTGCTACTAGTTTGCTCACATCGACGTTTAGTCGACGCCTTTTATGAACCCCACCAAATCGCAAGACGAACTTGGCACACACTAACGCATGATCGGAGTCCAGGCATGTGCTCCAGAAGGAGCGACAGTCTTGTATGCATCCTCACCACCGGAAACTGACTGCAATGTGATCGATCTGAGTCCAAGCTTGGTTCGCAGAGGGAGGACGCCAGGTAGCGCTACGGCGATGGTTGTGCCGGAAGTTGGTGCTGGCCAGAAATAGGTTGCGATCCGCGCAAAGCTGCAGAAGACGGTCCCCATTATCTGACCTGCGACCATGTAGTCCCCATTGACCACCTAGACGATTCTCCTCTGAGCTCAGACGCCCGACCTGTGCATTCAAGTCCCCAGCCAGCACTACGATATCCCTCCGACCCTCCTGTCTCAAGAGATCGCTAAGTTGGTGGTAGAACTCGTCCTTCATTGCATCCAGGCTGCAATCCGTTGGTGCATAGGCAGGGACAACAAATAGACACCGCCTATCTGGCCTACTACTCCTCACTTTCGTATAACCTTCCAGCCTCACAGCACATAAACGACTGTTAATGGAAATCCAATCGAGCAGTGCAGCTTCGGCTCTAGCGCTCAGTGCGACGCCACAGGGTCCCCGGACAAGCGCAGGTGGTACATACTACTAGAACTTCCAGATGGAGAGGATAATCGAAGCACTTCACTGGGATCTTGAATGCGAGTCTCCGAAATGCAGCAGACATCGATAGCGAGGCTTTCCAACGTTCTTACCAACCCTGCCTGTTGTCCGATTTGCATCAGCGTCCGAACATTGTAGGTGGCCAGCTTGAACGCGGCACGCGGTTTCAGGATATCTGTGTTAGATGTCACATTGGGGACAATCATTTTGAGGATTACTCACTAACATCTCGAAACGACACATATAGGCTAGGAATCCAGACAAAGGCGAAAGGCTGTCGACGGTTAAGATGTCAAGATGAGCAAAGGTAAAATACAATAGACTAAGTATAAAAATAAAAGTAAGGTTGGAAAGAGATGTGTTACTTGAGACATCATCATTGCTCGAACGCATTGTTAGGAGCGCGCGATAAGTTCCACTGATATTTTGTTGCTTTATTTCATTTATTGTGTGAGGGCTGAGATACTGCCCGGGTGCCCAGACCGAAGCAGGTTGTTTTCCTAAGGGAACACCCCCCGAGCCTTTGACTTGGAGTCTGATCCGTAAGGCAGCGTCAGGTGCTGCGTTCCCATGGTTGCCGGTGACCCATATGGGTTCGTACGCCATTTGATCCGATTGGATTCTGGAGCCCATGTACCCCATGGTAACTGCTTTTAGTCTAACCGCTATCCAAACAACCTTCCTGGCATGGTAGGACCTGCAGGGACACGAGTCCCAGCCAGTTTAGGTTGTTGGGTCACTGCGTCATTCAAGCCCGACCACCACGGCAAGGTAGCAGTTATCGGCCGGGGGAGTCATTATTAGTTATTATTTTATTCCACTGCATCGAACTAAACTTCTGAATGTATTTACTGCCTTTGACTTATCAGATATCGGTCTGTTTAAACTTGAAATTGGACTACATAGACAACATTTATGTTGATTGGTAGCTTACCAGAAACATTTGCTATAATGTTTCATAAATAGTCTTTACTAAATACTTCGTTAAATAATATCAAGTAGAAAATTGAGTTTATACACCAATTCGACTATCTGGAAAGGTCCCATAAGTTTGAATGGATTTATGGTCAACAAAATGTCTTTATGAGTATACCATGTCCAGGTAACACTCGACAATGTAAATTCAGTTAATAAGTAATCGAATCCCACTGCATCTCTTAGTGTATCAAGTGAGACATTTGTAAAGTCGGTTATCATAATAGAATGAGTGTATGCATCATGTGTAGAATGAAAACTGAAAGGCCGTTGAATGACAGACATTTGGGTGTGAATTATTAATACACCGTTAAATCAAGTATCCGAATTATTTTCCACTTGCAAAATTCACTCTACATTTGAAAGGAAGATATCGAAATCTAGATGAAAACTTCAGATGCAATAGGATTGGCACCAATGACTTTCGTACAAATGTAGTTTATTTTATGGTATACTAAGTAAAACTGGTTAATTATATCTCCTTCCTACCTGCTAAATATTGTTTGATATTCATTAAGCTGTCTAAGCTATTTCTAAATCCATAAATTGTATATTACAGAACTGTGCTTAAAATTATTTATCACTCAAATCGACCTCTTTCTATGTCATCATAACTTAATGTCACGTCCATTGTTGTTTCAGGTTAACAAGTACAGAACTAGTTCGATTAGAACGCCAATTGGGAATGCACATACAGTTGTTGACTACAAGTTTCCTGCTCACTTATGATTTTCCTGATATGCACGAATCAACTACTCGACCATGTGCATCTCTTCTCAAAACTTTGGTTGCCAAGCGTCAGGCTTTTGATTTAGTCGCGCTTCAAAAAAAGGTATCCAGTGCAGTTCATTCTGTAACTAGCTTCTATTGGCGTTGTCCTACCCTAGACATGGCTATTGATTTGATTTCTGATTACTCTGGATTGTCTATGCTTCCTCGTATACGATGGAATGCCTGTAAGCAGAGATTAGGACAAACGTTGACTAAATCGCCTTCATTTACCTTCCCGATTCCATACTGTTTATTGGATATAATGATCAACAGTCCTATTTGGTCTTATGCTTATTTAATGCCTACCGTCTTGGGACCTCATCCAAAAAGCCATGTTCGGCTAGTATTTCATCCGTCAGAAGATGCTTTGGTGATAATGGGACTGGCAGATTTTTCAGGTGCTTTAAGCCGCTGTTGTAGAATTCTTGAATCTAAAATGTTTAGTCAACGTCGTTTCTCAAGAGCTTTAAAGTCTCAAAATAAACAACCAGGACGTTACATTGCCTATCGTTTAATCGGTAGACATATACTTCCACATCGTACATTTTTACAGCTGCGCTCTCGTCGAAGCAATCTGTTAGCTAATTGTGATAGCATAGATAACGCAGGAGATTCAAAGCCAGTATCAGTTGCCACTCGTTATCTACTTCACCTATATAAGGAACTAAGTCAACCGGGTGAAGTAGATCTTGAAAGGATCCAACAATATGCTAATGAAATGAGTTCTCTTGCTATTCCTTATGGTATACCACTGATTACCTCATGTTTAATTGATAGGAATCCTAAGGAACTGTTTACTTTCGAAGGACTTCCCACTGAAGTAGGTTATGAGGATGTATTAGGTTATAATAACTTCGACGAAAGCGTAAAACGCAAGTTAGATGTACTAACTGAATTCACGCAAAATGCAAACTGTTTTTGGAAATCGCAGACAGAAAAAGCATCTCGAACTAAAGAAACAGAAACAAACTGCTTGTCAGTTTTAGACGACGAATCCATAATCAAATTAGAACAACCTATCCAATGTGATGTTCTCGGTCCAGATTACCAACCTGCTATACCAGTTGATCCTAATCCTGATGGGTAAGTTATCATGTTTCGAACGGTATCTATGCTTATATATATATATATATATATATATATAAAGGCCATGGTAAAGACAAGGATTGGAGGTATTTCTTTTGAATACATAGCGTGGGCTTGAGCTATTGGGTCACTAGTACCTCAGCTATTACCCGATGCATTGATTTCACGCTGTTTGAGAGGTTTCATGAAATCTTGTATATGACTTTGAGGGACTTCTCAAATGGAGGTGAATGTTCTGAATTCACAAGATGCTGTGTTACCGAACTATATACAGCCTTGCGTTTTCCCTTTGGTAACCATGCTGGATAGTGTTCGCGAGCGCGTTTTACAAGCGGACGCATGGTAAGGCCAATGTACTCTGCTCCACACGAGCGAGTGAACTGGTATATGCATGTTGAACTGCTTGATCTTACTTTATATATGGCCCCGAATAAACGTCTGCTGATGTGGTGTGTCGAAAAGTAATGGTGTTCTCGAAAATTAAGCTACTGTTCTCGTTTCAGCAATCATGCTGGTAGGGCCTATGTACTTAGCTGCACAGGAGCCAGTGAAATGGTAAATGCACATTGATTTTGCCAAGTTGTAATAAAGCGGACTGGCATCATTTAACTCCATATAATATTTCTATAAAGTATTACTAAACATTCCCCAGTGTATCTTTTTGATTGTCTTATGTATTAGGCGACCGTAAGAAAAATGGTACATTCCATGTACTTGTTGCAAAATTGATGTCACTGTATATTGTATGATGTCCTATTTTTTCGTTACCTGTCTTTATTTTATTCTGAAAGCTTGGAAGACTGTTAATTGCACTCGGATTCTGATTTATTTATTCTCAGCAGAATTGGTGAGTCTGGTTTAGCTGGAGTTACCGAGGTCGCAAATGAACGCGGATCAATTTCCAATGTAAACTCGACGAACTTACCAAGCTCAGAAACACAACATGATCATGTTTGTCAGCGTGTTACACCACGTCATATTGAATTCATCTTAGCCCGTATTAACAAACGAAAGTTAAACAGTTATGCAAATAAAAATGAAGCGCGGAGCGTTGCGGATTACGATATTTCGAATGGTATTGTGACGCCTGATGGGGATTTTATTCAAGACGAACAACAATTTAATGAAATTCCAAATGTTTTTGAATCGTATTACAATAATACTGGCAATGTAGCGTTAGATGCTTGTCAGAAGATAGCTGATTCTTTAGTGAACACCTTTCATCTCGGTTTTGATAGGTTTTTCAGAGATTATGGAGACCACATTCCGAAGTCACCGTGCATCTTTAATACTGGTAATTCTACTTCGTATGTGAGCCCTGGCTGGCCCAGTCATGTTCAGCCTGTTTCAGACTTTCCAGTTTTTATTAGTGATGAGTGTCAGAGCCAACCAGCTGGTGTTTTTCCCAGTGCTTGCTTTGTGTCTTCCAGTGATTTTATTGCACGTTGTCGTGCACGTGGTGATGCCACTTCAGCTGACCTTCTAACCTTACCATCTTCGGTTATGGGTCAATCACAAACGCTGATGGATGAAATGGATGTAAAGCGAGCGCGTTCCTTGTTAGGTCGATGTCGAAGGTATTTAACTCCCACTAATTACCGGCGTTTGATGCGCACCTTGATGAATGTTTATCAAGCTGTTCATAATCCCACATCAGCGGGTAGTAATAAGGATCAGCAGTCGAGCAGAAATGCAGTCCTGGTATCTCTTGCACGTGTATTGAATTGTTTGAAAAACCATGTGCAGTTGTGGGAGGATTTCGTCTGCTTTCTGACTCCATCACAAGCCCGTAGTTTGGGTCTACTGTCGACCTACTTAAATTTAGCACGCATTGTTAGAGTTCAAAGGGTTATGCAAGATATTGTTCCTGGAGATAGGAGGTTTTGGAGACGCTTGCGCAACTTGGCAGACAGTTGCAGTAAGAAAGCACGTTATATGCCAGTTAAAAAGAAGGTATATGTCGGTTCATATTATGGGCCGGCTGAATCTTCGAACACATCCGAAAGTCCCAGCAGTTTCAGTGAAAAGGTATCTGAGAGAATCCAGACCACCCACAAACCGTCTATGACAGAACAATCTCCTGCGGTGAACAACAATCAGCCGAAGTCTGCACGTTTGAGAAGTGTGCGGTTGAAAGGTGAAGATATGCATGTTTCGTTTGCCAAAGCGTGGGCAATTCTTGAGAGCAGCTGGCGCAGTCGTCCTGTCCTTCTGTCTTGCATCGCTAGTCTGATTAACACCAGACACAAACCTTTTTCTGGTTTTGAACAGGTGAGCTATCACGTGAATACATGCTTTACTTTTTACATACTGTAACCTTTTTGTCTTAATGTAAGAAGTTTCAATGGTGTACATATGTCCAACTAAAATTATAATTCAGGTATGATCGCTCGTATTCCTTGCATTTTGAAGAATCGAAAAGTGGTTTTCACTTTTTTTGATTTGCTCACACTTATGAGTGCTTAGAGTACACATTGTTATGCGTGTTACAGAAATTTAAGCAATTTCTACCTAGTTTCAGGACATTTGCATTCATACAAAGTGTATGTTCACTAAACATGTCGTCAAGAAAGTCTTTTTTGGTGTTCCCGGACTGATTGGTTTCAACGTAGAACTTCTCACACATGTGCAGCAGTTCGAGTTGCCACACTTCCTCCATGTAGCACACAAAGCAAGAGAAGAGAGTAATGACAGATTGAAGACGGAGATAATAAACAGGAATATGAGGCGAAAATAACAGTAATATAGAAGAACAATATAGTTTTGTTGGATATTATAAATCACAAAGAGTAAATGCATCTGCACTATGCATTGAGAACGATTTTGAGCCATTCACCGACTGTTTCCAGCCATTGGTTCTTACCAACTCGAGGCCCCCAACCAGCCAGCCGTTCTACACCTCCATACTTGACTGACTGGCTTAAACTAGCTGTTGTGGATTTCATTGACTGGTGAAGCCATGTTTTGGTTTGACCACCACAGGCTCTTTTCCAACCTGATCCATTCTATGTCAGCTAACATTGCCCATCGGTCGAGGAAGGCGATGGCTAGGAAAGCATGCGCGACACATGTCCTAACCATCTCAACCGATGCAGATGCTTCACAGCCTCGTCGATTGATTTCCCCTCCTTACCTAGTACTCGACCGATGCCTCACCTCAATATCACTCACCTTGTTATACCACCTAACACGGGAGATAGAACGCAGATACCTATGATCGAAGACAGCTAGCCAGGCTTTCCATGTCTTCCAATGGCCATGGCTCACAGCCAGCGATAAAGGAGGATGGGGCGGACTGGTGAGCAGTCCACACATCCTCTGATCGATAGCCAGCCGGATATCACATCTACTGAGCCGGAGATGGTGTAAGTTGGTATATGCCGAGAGACTGGAACTTTTGTAATACCTTTTTCTTTGGAAATGGAAGCTGCTTCTTTTTGTTGTCGTCTTCAAGAAATTTAGTCTGTCCATGATCGAATAGTGGAACAGTTGACAATTGTCCATCGGATGAATAAACAACGCGTAATGATCCAGCACAGTTACTTGAAACCGTTTTCCTAATACAGTTAGAAACTCTAGGTGTTGTAACCAAAAAGCGATTCGGGCCGTGCAGTTGTATTCATGATGCATGCACTAAATATTCTTTTTTTCTTTTACCTTATGGTGGGGAGTGGGGTTACAATTTTTGACACTTCTATTTCCGCACTCTTGCCGTACATCTTACTACCTTCTAGTTGGTGTGTATATTAGACGTGTGACAACTTGACCAACTACTCATTGAGAGCAGGTTCTATATGGGTAGTATGCGTGTTCGCCTACTCACCTCCTGATAGTCTAACATGCCATGTTTCACCTTTAACTTGCTATTTCCCACTTATTGGTACCTCTTGATATTTCGTTTTTGCAAGTGTTTTTAAAGATGTCTTCATGTAGGTTTTATAGGTGTTTTGAGGTACAGAAATTGTCATGCTTCTAGGCGGAGAATAATCCTCATACAGTACACTTGTCTTTCTCTGATTCCTTTAATTACAGTTTATAAACGCTAACGTTTGGTATTGGTTCATTGACTGATGTTGATGTCATTAGAAAATAATGTCTGATTAGCCTGTTATACGGTTACATGGTGTTGATCTATACACTAATTTGTGAATCATACTTACATGTTCGAGAGGAAGCCCCACTATGAATTACTACTCGACTTCAGATACTGTAGGAGTGAAAAATATAGTCTCACTGCTCTGATCAAGCAGACAGCTATACTTGGATTTCCATAGTACAAGATTCCAGAGTTACGTATGACCTGTGGACGGATTCGACACAAATTATTATTGTCGAAAACCCTCCGATTAGCAGTTTAGAGAATAGCTCCAAGAAGCAAGCCGTGTTCGTTCATGAATTTCAGTCGTTAATGTGATTTACCTAACGGAATGTTTGAAATAATGTACATCAAGAGGTTTCAGGTAATCAGGAGAGGAGTGCTATTCCAAGATTCCAAGATTCGAGTGCTAACAGTAATTTATTGACGGTTTACTCTTCCCAGCTGCTCACATCATGAGAATTGATTTGTTCTTTCAGTGTCTGAAAGAGGAAGGGATTTTGGCGGTAAATGGAGACAGAATGCTGTAGTGTAAATTGGAGTCTTTCTCAATGCGTAGTTTCTCATCAGCAGCCGACAGCCTACTACTCCTTCCATCATGGTTAGATTTTCTGCTAAGACTCATGTCTGTCCCTCTGAGTCTAGTTATTTCAGTAAGAAAATCACTTTCCTTTAATTTTTTTACTTCAGTACGTTGTTCTAAAATAATTAATAAAGAATAATGTCATATTATATTATTTGTTTAGAGCTTCGAAGAGACAGACGTACTTGCTAGAAATCCTGTTGGGATTCCGAATGCTTCTGATGAATCAAATCAAAGTGCAAGTATTTGTAATGTGGATCATCATCAACTAGAAGCCGATACCAACGATCCTGTGAATATACTGTCTCCTGACGTACAGTCTTTATTTTCTGATGGATGGGAAATATGCACAGATCTTTCTTCAGCTGCCTGCAACCACAATAACCCGCTAGGAACAGCTTGGGTACGTAGGCAATGTCCTTGTCTATGTCATTCAAATGTCTCACCTAATAAGACCGCAAGTATGACGAACCAGTCCGGAAAACCTGCAAAAGTGTATAGTCTGGGTTTGAGACATTGTATTTCTTGTAGTCTAAGGGTAAGTTCTTTCTCTTAGTTCCTAATAAACGAACTATACACAAGCGTAGTATTCCTAGTTTTATATACGCTTTTACTTATTTTGATATTTTATATAAACAATCCCAAGAAAATAATTGCAATAGACTATCAAGAAAGCTGTATTTCTTCATAATGTATTTGTCTTTTTCTCCACTCTTTGCTGGGAATTGTAAGATGATGTTATGTGAGACAAATGATACATATCAGTTAATTAGACTTTCTGGAAATTAATTTCAAGCACTGTTTGTCGTTGACAACATACTAAGTTTCTTAATACAATTCAAGTTCACAAAGTAACTGACTGTTGAATCACTAGAATTTCGAACAGAAGTCCATTTGTTCAAGTTGCTGTATTCCGAAAGTGAAACAGAATGACAGGACCATAGAAGATAACATGATTCAGTGATGTATACTTTTAATTTATTCAATAGCCGATCAAAAGAACCCCATGCTACCTTTACATACATTGAGAGATTTTCTGTCACTTCGACTTTTAAGCTACCTATCTACATTATAAACGTCTCCATAATGATGAACATCATAGTACAGTCTTATTTACTACGTAGTGATTTTATCGAAATACGTAATCACTATTCTATTTGTCAGGTAAGCACATTGCATGTGGAGTTTGTTTCTGCTGATGCTCACTTTCGACTTTTATATTGATAAGTGCTTTATTTTTTAGGTGCACCGTGGGACACTTTATGTTGATGAATGTAATCTCCACCTACGTCATGTGCAGATAACTTGGCCACTTGGTTTTAAGCCCAAAACTCGTTTACCTACAGGTATTCCATCAAGTGATGATCTTTCGACTCAAAACCATCGTTTGGCAACAATGCAACATGCAAGTATATCCAAGCGTGTTGCTGCAAATAAATTATCGAATCACTGCACTCGACTACCAGATATGGCTGGTAGGCGTGTTTCAGTAGAATATGTTAGTGCATTTAAATCGACAAAATCAATAAATCATGAAATCATCCCTTCAAATAATACTCTAGAAACATTCGAAATCCACTCACCGTGCGATCTGACAGATTTGGACTCAAGATCATTTGCTGAACATAACGGAAGTGAATCAATTTCACAGGATGTACCCTCAAAATTCGGTTATTTAGAAAACCCAGTTGGCTGGACAATGGATGACAAGGCTGCTCGCTTACGCACAGAGGCTTTTGCCTCTGTATCAGATGAGAACCATGAATGTGAATTCCGTGTATTTAGTAACAGTGATACGGATGACTGAAGCCCCATAAGAACACAGTCAATTACTAGAATTTTGCAAAACTAGGGGTCGTTACAGTTGCAAAACGTTCTCAGTCCTGGCTGAAATTTCGGAACCTAAACCGTATTATTTCTGTCCTCAACGGAACGCGGATGAACTAGAGGCGCGTTTCAAGCACCTGACGCGGACCACTATAAGGGGAACTTACGATCCTGAACTATTTCAAACCTCTAGAACACTACACTCACCATCTGGAAGCGATGAATAGGTCATTATTACTATTTGTTTATTCTCTCTTTCTTTCTTTATTTCACATTTGCCTTTTTCCTTCTAGTTACTTGACTTTTCTTGCTTCTAAATCTTTGTTTTCTTCCCGTATTAATGATTCAAAATTGAATGTTTATGCTAATGACCTTTCACAATACCCTGTAATTTATGTTGTTTGCATAAAATTTGAATTCTATCATCAAACCAACTATGGACTATGGATAGCTTTTTGATGTTTTAGCCTTAAAATAATGCATATATGTTATCTGAAGGTAAATTCAAAAACATATTAGAGGTGTGTAAATAATCTGTGTGTCACCGTTTAGTACTGCTGTTTTTCAGTCGAAGAACCAATACAGTATATAGAAGCTAAAACAGGTGAAAACTGTTGAATGCTGACATTTTGTAGACATTGAAAACCATCTCTTGCGACCCTCCCAATAGTTATATTCAACTGCTAGAGGACTACATTTGCTGAATACTGTGTTATTTTATTTTGAAATGAATAAAATTACTCTCCTCACTTAACACCACTAACTATAAGAACAAGGATTGTTAGAGCAATTCTGTATTAACACGAAATCCGAGCAGAGTCCAGGAATCGATAGTTGGAACAGTGCATAGTTTTCATCAAAAATACCTAATAATACAGATACAACATCAGTCATTAACACATGTACACAAATAACCAGTATGATTAAGATTATATATTTCGTAACCACATGTATTTGTATAATTAGCTAGAAGGCAATTAAGAAGGAAAGAGGGCGCCACTCGTCGTTGTCTTCCCATGGTCTCCGCCTACGCCACAACCGACTGCAGTTCGGATGAACTAAAGGGTGATTTCTGCTTGAAACTGTCTAGTTTGCTGCAAAAAGCGAAACGCTCAGATATGGTTGTCAAAGCAGGCGACTTCAATACCCAAGTAGGGAAGTTGTGCCAGACAGAATTATGTGGGTGGTACGTACGCAGTTCCCTGCCGATGAATCGACAACGGTGATCGTCTTCTAGAGTTCTGTGCCTAGTCAGCACTATCTTTAAGCACAAAGAGAGACATTGCCTAACCTGGTGACCTCCATCACTAGATCAGCGTTGGACTCAAATAGACCATATAGCGGAAGATATGGAAAAGGTATCGCCGATTGGTAACACAAGAGGCAAACATTTAGGCGTATCACGGAAGCAGGTGGTAAAAGGCAAATGATATGTGAAACAATCCACGAGGAAAATGGCACCTTGATTAGCCCTCAGGATAGTCGACTGGAACGTTGGAAATAACACCTTGAGGAGCGATTTAACTGGCCTACAGCCACACTCAACTTACCGAGCACCAAACACCTCCCTGAATGAATGAGATATAAACACCGGTCCTCCGTTCGTAACCCTGACTGAGGCTGCAAATGCTGCCAGTAGTCTGAAACGAGGCAAAGCAGCAAGACCTGATGGAATGACTCCAGAGGTATTTAAGTTCGGTGGAGACAGCTTACTGTGCGTGTTAACTAAGGTGTTAGGCAGCGTCTGGGAATCAGAGGACGTCCCGTCGGGCTGGTGTAATCATTGATTATTCCGATGTACACGAAGAGACAGGTCTTCCTGTGACAATCACAGGCGGATTAGCTGGACCATTATGGTATCTAAAGTTCTAGGTTCAATAATCATACGTAGACTAAGTAGTGCTCGGCAGGAACAATTGCGCGAGTACCAGGCAGGCTATAGAACAGGAAGAGGGTGTGTTGATCATGTGTTCACCCTTCGACACATTCTGGAACACAGGCGGCATAATTATCTGCGTCCAACAATCGCCATATTTCTCGACCTTAAAGTGGCATTCGATTCCGGCGGTTTGTTTGTGAAAGAAATGCGGAGAAAATACATTGCACTAACCAGGGCACTCAATCTATTCGATCTCATGCAGTCAGCCAGGTGGAAGACTACGGAGAGTTGTCAACCAGTATTGTCCGTCAGGGATGCCCACTGTCCCTATTTCTGTTTAATTTTATCATTAACGTACTACTAATGAACTTAACCCTAACTGACTTCAGCGACTCAGACACTGACTTGTAACCAGGGTATAATAGTCTCGTTGACTTTTAATATGCAGATGATATAGTCCTCCCTGCTGGGTGAAGACGCTGTCAAAATGCAAAGTCTTCTGAGCACCTTGAGGAGCGGCAATCTGCGAATGTTCCGCATGCGATTCGCTCCTGTCAAATGGAAGACGGTGTCACAAGACTGGACTAGGTTGTCTCCTAGCTTAAAGATAGCGGCTAGAGAGGTAAATTGTGTTGAGCACTTCGTTTATTTGATAGGTTGCATTAGCCAGTGTCGGCGGGTTGATCTCTGACGAAATCTCAGCACACATACAGAGGACTCGTTTGGCATCTTTCGGTCAGCTTACGCCATCTCCGGCTCAGTAGATGTGATATCCGGCTGGCTATCGATCAGAGGATGTGTGGACTGCTCACCAGTCCGCCCCATCCTCCTTTATCGCTGGCTGTGAGCCATGGCCATTGGAAGACATGGAAAGCCTGGCTAGCTGTCTTTGATCATAGGTATCTGCGTTCTATCTCCCGTGTTAGGTGGTATAACAAGGTGAGTGATATTGAGGTGAGGCATCGGTCGAGTACTAGGTAAGGAGGGGAAATCAATCGACGAGGCTGTGAAGCATCTGCATCGGTTGAGATGGTTAGGACATGTGTCGCGCATGCTTTCCTAGCCATCGCCTTCCTCGACCGATGGGCAATGTTAGCTGACATAGAATGGATCAGGTTGGAAAAGAGCCTGTGGTGGTCAAACCAAAACATGGCTTCACCAGTCAATGAAATCCACAACAGCTAGTTTAAGCCAGTCAGTCAAGTATGGAGGTGTAGAACGGCTGGCTGGTTGGGGGCCTCGAGTTGGTAAGAACCAATGGCTGGAAACAGTCGGTGAATGGCTCAAAATCGTTCTCAATGCATAGTGCAGATGCATTTACTCTTTGTGATTTATAATATCCAACAAAACTATATTGTTCTTCTATATTACTGTTATTTTCGCCTCATATTCCTGTTTATTATCTCCGTCTTCAATCTGTCATTACTCTCTTCTCTTGCTTTGTGTGCTACATGGAGGAAGTGTGGCAACTCGAACTGCTGCACATGTGTGAGAAGTTCTACGTTGAAACCAGTCAGTCAGAAGCCAATTCGACCAACAGCCATGTCTTATCAAATTGGTGTCTCTATAGGTCAGCATATATTTCTTTTTCACTGCGTTCGCTTCTGTTGTTTTCAATCTTGAGCGCTTGAGGGAATTTTTCTGCATTAGTCTGATGTAAACGTCTTCAGTTAGTAAGGCTTCTTCCGGCTGTGAGCTGATTGTAGTTGTTTTTCAGATACTATAAGGAACGACTTTTGAATACTTTATTTGACCAACATTTCTACCGCGTACTGTATTAATTTTTGACGACGAAGATTTCTAACAGTAACAAGTTTGAATTTCATTATGACCGTATAGCTGGAACAATTAAGTGCCACAGAACGCAATTACATTTATACCTGAACCATCATTAGCATACTGTTAGTAGTTAAATCTTCCTTCCAAAATGTCCTTCATACAATCCTTCTCACACATGTTCGAGCAAATTTGACGGCATTTCCACTGATCTCTTATGCATAATAGCCCAACTAAGGCTTTCTACAATACCTGTTGTCTTCATGAAATTATAGGAAAACGCTAACAAAATCTTTTGTTGCTGTCTTCTGGGTATTTCACCAAACTATTTCGTCCCTCTAAATGAATGAACGTGATACAGATAATAGATGATTATGCAACGAACAAATACTACCGGCTCCACTGGAATTTCTCATTCTAGATAGTTTGTTCGAGGAATTTACCAGCTTGACATTTGATATCGTGGTGGTGAGTACTCATAACTAGGTTGACCCTGAAAACTGTACATCGCCACTTATCTTCTGGCGAACAAAAATCCAAAGAACAACTCAAAGAGGTCGTGTGTTACAAGCCCCAAGCAGTTGTCACCCGGTGCTCTGCCATCAAGCAACACTAGTGCTTTTTCTGTTTCAGCTGCCTTATAACGGAAAGTACAAATTGCCAACACACCTACTTCCAGAAGCACACATAGCTCTCCTGATCATCGCCCACCATTGTCTACGTCACCATCATTTTGGTTCCCCATTACTGTTAACGCCATTTCATAGGCACATCCCTCATCTTCTCTTAACTCTGCAACCACCAGTAGCGACACTACTGATATTCCTTTAGAACCACACTGTCAACTCCATATTGGAGCATCTGACATTGGGACCCCTTACCATATAGGAAAACAGGTATCACTAGCCACAACTCTGGCCTCTTGAGGCATCGTTGCATGTTGTGTTTCAGAGACACACATAAAAGATCCGAATGTGGTTATCCAATTAACCCCACATGTAAAACGGAGTCAGCAGATTCTTCGGCTAGTTCACGTGAACTCTCAGGTATGGGGATAGCATTTAGTGCTATGGCAGAAAAATCCCCACTTGGCTCTTTCCCATAGAATAGCAGTTAGTGTGCTGTCCATTTGAACGGATCCCCTACAAGAAGGATAGACTGAGATATTCGTCGATGTCATTCCATAATCTCCGCTTAGATCCCAATAGAATGCAGTTCGTATGAAGTGAGGGATGGGTTCTATCTAAAGGTGTCTAGTTTGCTGCTCGATGCAGAACTCTCAGATATAGTCATTTTAGCAGGTGATTTCAATACATAAGCAGGGA